CTCAAACATTTCACTTACCTCTCTCTCTCACTGCAGAGTGATAATGAACACAGACATACAGAACGCTTACCTTTCTGGAAACACTCATTCCCCTTATTCTTTTCCTCCAAAGCCAGTTCAGGATTGATATAGGCTAACTTTTCCTGCTCTTTCAAGATTTTCTCAGCCTAAGGAAAGAAACAGAGTTACACATTTTATATCCCACTGATTTCCAGAAGCACTTAGAAAGGGGGCAGGGCAATCATCATCTCGCTAAACATCACTCCATGCTGCGTTAATACACTCAGATGTGTTCGTCAAACCAAAAGATCTTACTTGCTGACACTTTTTCAACACCTCTGGAGTCCGGTGCTCAGCCAGCGATTTGTTGTAAAACTGAATAGCTTCCTTGTGCTTTTCTTCCTTGAAATAGGAATTGCCAATCCGTGCGTACGCTCTAGATGAACAAGAATATATCAAGAATGAGTGCCTATAATAAGGGGAAAACTCTGACCCACAAATCTCAGGAGATTTGATTTCGCAAAAGACTTCATTCTAAAAATCATTAGGAAAGGGACTGGAAGTAAAATGTCAATGTTTACGGCTATTATAGTGCTGGGAAAAGGTAATGCAAATAATCATAGTTTAAAACACGCAAACATTAGGAATGAAAAGGAAAATGATGCTGATTCAAGACAGACAAAAGAAACGCTGCTTCATATAGCATAAAGTTAAACTATGGAATTAGCTGCCCCACGATGCGATTTGAGGCAGCCACCTGTTTAAATGAGTCTTGCATACATGGAGAATAAGGTTATCAGCAACTACGCGTTAGGTGAACTATGCACTACTGCCTATGGTCATAAATCAGCGGATGGATCTAAAACACAGTATCCTTGACACTGCATATGCGTTAACAGTAAGGTGGACTACGCAAGGCACCCTCAGGGAGTACTGCCTCTCACTCCCTCGGTTCAGAGAAGATGGAAAAAGCTGAACCTTCAGCAAATTCCTCCAAACCCCACCACAAACGGAGCCAGGAAACTCAGAAAGGAGTTTCCAAAGAGAGATCTGGCGCTATGGCAGGCATGGCTACTTACTTGGCAATCTGGCGGTAATCCTCCCGGTTCTCTCGCCCGACCTCGATGGCCTGCTCACAAAGCTCTCGGCACTTGTTGTAGTCTCCCTTCTCAAAATACACCGCTGGAAAAAGAAGAAGAGAACAACACACCGATAGACCTCCTGGTCTCCTCCCATCCATAACCTGCCTAGATTCCAATTTCTATGTGCCTTTGCTAAAGGGGACGAGACAGGCAGTGACCGAGAGACAGCAGCTTTTTAATCCAGGCCACAAAAGACTCGCTCCAAATAGGTC